TCAAGATAACTCAACATCCAGGTGAAAGAAAATAATCACTGTATCTTGAATAATTTTTTCAATATGAATAGCAGATTCTTTTCTTCTTTAGATATTTCGTCCTGCATATATTGAAACAACATTTAGCATTTCAGATACGATATAAAAAGACATAAACGGGGCAAATAAAATCCAAAATTGACAAACCTTGTAGTTTTCTTTGAGAGCATCGAGCGAGCTTCGAGAAATCTTGCTCACGAGTTCATCATGAATCTCAAAATGCCTGCCGAACATCTTCTGCTGCTCCTCGTAATTACTGCCAGTTATCTGTTCAAGAGAGGATTCATTAAAGTTAACAGAATATACGCTTACACGTATGCTACTGATCTCGATATTTCGTATTTCATACCTTAATTGCCACAGTCTGGCCTTTCTTGGCATAATCAACAGGCTTGTGGTTATTCTCAATCGAAGCTATGCGACCAATTTCAATAAACTCCTTCTGAGGGACGCAAATCGGAGTTCCGATCTGCAAGGCAGGCCGAGAGTATATTAAACACCATTGTTAAAAAAATATCAGAATTCAGAATCAAGAAATAAATTACCTTTACTGTGCCTTCAACGACATCAACTCCCAAAACAATTGGATCCTTCTTATTGAACACACAGTTCGGTACAATCTTGAGTACACACGGAAAAACTGCTTCTTCAGCAGCTTCTTTCTTTCTTTCCTCCTTGAGATTTTGTAAGTAAGACTTGAATTGTTCGGACAGTTTGTAAATAGTGTCGGCGGTGAATATTTTGACATCGAGCTCGTGGGCGAGTTCACTAGCCTCTTGACTGACTTTAACATCGAAAGCTAGTATCGTGGCATACTCCATTTTCTTTTCGAGCATGACACTTGCCTTGATCACATCTTTCTTGTGTACCGGACCTATGCTTACACCGCTGACTGGTGTGTTCGACAAGTGCTCCAATAATGCTTCTAAAGATCCAAGAGTAGATGCTTGAACATACACTCCATCGCCACTTTTGTCGATTCTACTCATTACGGACTTGATGATATCTTCTTCCATGGCTGTGTTTTTTATGTCTTCCAAATTATCGTGAGGCCCTGCAACGTAGAGACTAGTACCTGCAATTGCATGCTCAAGCCCCTGAAAATATATAAAAAGATAGTGTGCAATGAAGTCTATAAATCGTGTTTGTTTTCGATCTATGATGTATGATCTTCCATTTTATGCCTTTGTAAGGACAAATGATAGACATGGTTGGTTTACCTGAGCAGTGATCTTGATACCCTGGGCAGCCTTGATTTCTTTATGATGCAAATATGTTCCCTGGAAAAAAATAATAACAAAACGATGAAAAATCCATTAATAAAAGAAAAATGCTTCGAGAAAGTTACTAAATGAAATAATAAGCAGAAGATATCTCCGTCGAACGGAAATCACATTATAGTATATCTTTATTAATTATTAAAGTACCTTGACTCGGAGTTCCTTCATCGGATGGGGTGTTAATAATGCTCTAATTGTGGTAACAATGGGCCCCTATAAGAAATGCACAGAAGAATGAGTTACAAGTAACAGAAAAATAGAAATGAAGCACAGTGTACAAATATATGTACCTGCAAGCCACAAACAACTATTTGATCTCCTTCGTGAAGCACGCCATTTACCAACACCACATCTATTGTTGTCCCATGTCCTTCGACAACTTTAACCTCCAAAACAGTGCACTGCCAGAATAAAAGTATATCAGTAAGTCTTTCAATAAGTAATAAATAAAATCTCATTCGATTATATTTTTCGTTGTTAAGAAGATGACTAGAAAGCAAACCTGCACTTTGTTGCTAAATGTAAGCCTTTCAATCATCGTCTTTTGAGTCCATTGAACCAGTAGCAACAACAAATCAGGGATACCTTCACCACTGCCAGATAATCACCAACATGATCAGAATTCAAGACTATATTTATAATTCCCGAGAGAGAGAGGAGCTATAAAGTATAACAAGTGAAATGCTTAGTCGACAAAACAAACCTTATAGCACTAGTGGGAACAATGTTGAAAGTCTCCCCTCTATCTTTGTTCTTGTAATACAATTCAGTATTGAGACCTTGCTCCTTAAACTGCGTGATAATCTGTACAACACAACAACACTTGCCTCAGATAAGACCAAACAAATATGCCCGAATTTATCGTGAAATTAATAAAAGAGATAAATATAACCTGAGTCAGCCTGTCATTAAATAGCATTTGGACTTGTTTGGATTGTTGCTTCATTGCCTTCGCTATTGGTGCATTGCGGCATGTTTTCCAACCGTACAGTCTGTCCACCTGCAATACCAAAAAGAATAAACCAAATCAAATAATGAAAAACACACACACACACATGGGGTACGTACAAAGACACTAGACAGAGAAGTACGAAGGTAAACTCACTTTATTCAAAGCAACAATGAAGTCGGTATTTCTCATCTTAAGAAGATCGAGTGATTCGATGGTCTGTGGTTCCAAACCATGCATTATATCGACAACCAATACTGCAATCTCACATAATCCCGACCCTCGCGAACGCAAATTAGTAAAAGATTCGTGTCCAGGGGTATCGATCACTAGCAAACCAGGTACATTAAGCTTTGCATCAGCTTTCAGTTCCTTAGTTCTCTCGCGTATATTCTCGGCGGGGAAATAGGTAGCTCCAATTTGCTGTGTAATCCCACAAGCCTCACCTTCTTGGACATTAGTCCCTCTTATGCAATCAAGCAGCTTTGTTTTACCAGTATCGACGTGACCCATAGGCCATAACACAGCAAATTGGAGACCGGAGTTCCTTCTGATCATTCGAATTTGGTGTTTCCTCCTTAGGAACTTGTTTGATATTCTTCTTCTCCTCGGTAAAATCATGTGGCTTCGTTGTAATAGAAGCTACTTCAACATCTCGAATTGCAGTCCTTGAATTCTTTATCTCCTTCTGAACCCAAAGTTCAGGCTCCGAGTCAACTTCTTCATCTGCAAATGCACTTTTACCTGGTAATTTCAAATCAGTATCATCCCAACTTTTAGCATCCCACTCTTCATCTTCTTCCTCATCATCAACTCCATTCTCTTCAACAGTGTCAACGCTCTCAGCTTCCGAATAATCCCTTTTCGGTGCAATTTCATGCTGGATTTCTTTTGAATCTGTGATCTCGACATTGTCCGAGGTGGATGCTCCATTAGATTGAGCTTGTTGTGCCTTTGGCTTTTTCTTCTGATATAAAGGTCGTTTGGCGGAAGGTTCTCCAGAGGGTAACTGCAAGACACCTGCATTAGCTAGAAATTGCGTCCTCATTGCCTCCCTCTTACGAACTTCTTCCTTCTGCTTCGCCGTAAGAATCTTCCCTTCTTGCTTTTTCTTCAGAAGCTTCTCCTTCTCCTTTTCCTTCTTCAAGCGCTTTTTCTCTTCTACCAACCTTTCTTCTTCTCGTTTCTCCTCCTCTTTCCTTTGTCGATCTTTTTCTTCCAGCGTTTCCCTCTCTTCATCTTCCTTCTGTTTGGCAAGTATCGCTTGCATCTCCCTGACATGCTTTGGCACTTTCTTAGCTGGTACTTGGTTGTTTGTCTCGATTATGGATTCTTCCTGCTTTTCTTGCACTGCAGGGGCAGATGCAGCTGCCTTCTTCTCTTTCTCTTTATCCTTCTTCTTTTTCTTCTTCTTCGATGTTACAGACTCCACAGGTCCTTCGTCTTCATCTCCCTTGTCAGAAGCAGCCTCTTCTAACTCCGACCGGTGATGTACCTTCTCTCCTGCAGGAGGTAAAACTGGAGTTGCAACACAAGTCGATTCAGGAAGTACTACACCAAGTTCAGCTAAAATCTTGTCTAAATCATCTTCTTCATCACCACCTTTCCCACCCTTCTTCTTCTTTTTTTTGTTCTTTGAAGTATCCCTCAGATCCTGCTTTTTAATTTTAGAATCATCACGGCGTTGTTCCGGTTCAACAAAATCAGCCGATGCACCCCCATTCCCAAAATCCTCCTCACCATTATCCTTCCTTCCATAATCATCTTCTACCAATAACCCAAAACTCGAAGCACTAAACCCTGTGCTCTTTTTCCCCTTAGACTTCTTTTTACCATCAAATTTAATCACCGGAGCATCATCATCATCTTCTTCTCCGACCACATTATCCCCCAATCCTTCATCCTTGTTATTAAGATCTACTTTATTCGATCCCCCCTTCTTTCCCTTTTTTCGTTTACCGAGTTGTTCCACCTTCTCTTCTGGAACAAAAACAGTGTACTCTGCTAATTCAGTTCCAATAGAGTACTCATTATCGTCAATCGTAAATCCCTTCTTCTTCGATTTACCCCCTGCAGCAACCCCTGTTGGACCGCTCTCCTCAACATGGCCGGTCAGCTTCTTTCTCCCCATTAAATTATTCCTGCGTGATTTCGTCTAACAGTTCAAATTCCCCCAATTCACAGAAATTCCTGCAAAAACCCTAGTTTCAAATCAGTCACCCCAAACCAACACACAGAAAAATAACACTGCTATTTTTCATTTCCCTAGAGAAGGCCGAAGAACAGAGCTCTTCTTTCGTCCAATATTAACCTAAACCTCAAATCAAATCTAAAATTATTTCAGAAAAAAAAATTGTAAACCAACAACAACTGGCACACAACAAATTATATGAGCCAATCAAATTCGAATTAAATAAAACAGTAAATTAAATATCAGTTGTTCGAGATGATTCACCTGTGCACTGGGGGGTAAACGATCGCCGGAGAAACTATAAACAAGAAACCCTAATGATGGTTGTGTAAATATTTCTGATAATTGTTTATGCATACTTTGCATGCAGAAGCGTAAAGAGAAGCTGCTTTTGCGCAATTGAACTGGATGAAAGTAGGGTTGATCAACTCTGGTAAATGGATTTCAATCCGGGTCGGGTATTTATAATGGGCCTTTATTGCTTATGCGGTATGCCTGTCGAGGTAATAGATGTAGGCCTTTATATACCTTTAATTATTAATTGGGCTTAATTTAATTATTACCCATTAACGGTGATTAATTGAGTTTACTTTATTATCACACAATCAATATTTATTAAAGAGTTATACTTTCAATTTCTACCAATTTCGATTCCAAATTTTCCAATTTTGAAATACCTTCTTTAATTAATACAAGATTATAATTTTTCGATTTTTTCCGAATATATTTTCTTTGAGAATTTTTTTGAATATTTATTTTGTTTCAATTTATATGTAGAAGTTTTAGAATATCCGATTTCCTATCGTATTTTCCAATTTCCAATTTATTTTTGCTACAATATATTGATTTGAATCAACTCCTAGCCAATAAACTAATTTGGTCCAAACAAATCTCCAAGAGAAGAGTGAGGCCCAAATAGGGCAAATGCGTAGGAAGCTGCCCGCGAACAAAATCCTCAGCGAGAGGTCAGACGAGCAAAAAATGGCTAGCCTCTGACATCATTTTAATGCAGGTCCGATCATATCTTCGGTGCAGATAATGTTTTCTACTTTTATCACATGCAGATATCGCACCAATATTATGTTACATGACAGGGGTAAATGGAATTTGTAATCCGTTGATATTTTTACTGACACGAGTAAACAGATTAAACTACATCAAATGAGGATTTTGAAATCCGGGCTTGATTATAAATACCGAGCGTACACGAGCATAAAAAGGTAAGAACAAGAAATCTAGTATTTGCAACTTGCGAAAAAACCCTTTTTAAATAAATCACTGACTTAACCCTCGAAATGCTAACTTCCCGAAATTTTTGCTCTCTTTTGCAGATTCTGTTCAACATAAAATCAGGTACATCAAAGAAATTGGACTGGACTTATATTAAGGCCCATTATGAAATTAATTCAGGTTAAAGCCCATTAGTTGAAGGCCCATTTCTTCTCTGTCTGCAATCATACACTATCTGAAATTAATACAATCTTTATAATATAATATATATAATACAGAGAGTTTCAGATCTTATCCTTCCGAAATATACGTAACTATTTATTTTAATATCTGATCATCACACTGAAATTGCTGGTCCTGACGGACACGTGGAATGATTAGATTAGGTAGTTCAACAACACAATTGCAAATTACAATAACACCCTCCCCGACATGCAAAAACGGAGGACAACTGGCAACAGTTGTCCGTTCAAATAATTGAAGACCTATACAAATCGATGAGCCGGCCACGTGGCGAGCCCACATCAATAACCCACATGCCAACTAATATCTCTCTCTCTCTCTCTCACACACACACACACACACTCACACTCAACTCTGACTTCCAAGAAAAAAGATCTTTCCCATTCTTTATACCTACTAATAAATTCTCCTCTTTCTTTCTTCACATTTTAATTTCATCCCACAAAAAAAATCTCCAGAAAAAAATGGAGAAAATGATTGGTGGAAAGAAAAGCTATTTGGCAATGAAAACAGATTATCCAGTGAATGAACAAATCAGTTCAGATTTTAATGAAATTGGGGAATCAGTTAGAAAATTAGCCAATCATGCTATCAAGCTTGGTGGTATTGGATTTGGTACTTCTTTTCTCAAATGGGTTGCTTCTTTTGCTGCAATGTAAGTCTTTTTTTCTTCATTTATTTTATCTTTAATTTTCAAATTAAAAAAAAAAACATAAAAATCCAGTCTTTAATAATAAAAATCGAGTCTTTAATCTTTCCCTGTTTTATTCGGTCCGTGATTTGATGTTTGGGGTGTTTGTTTTAGTATCAGTTATGAGGAATATGGGATTAGGTGTTGACTGTTGAGGAATTACTGTAGTTGACTTTTTTAGTTTCTTCGACTAGTAGATATGTTCATCTTCTGTGTGAAGGTAGATATATATATCATCTCATATATGTATATGTATGTATCTATTAGGGTTGGTTTACTGTAATTTGATGGTGAGTCACTACATCAGTACATTGTTGTACTTGTTGAACATGAAACATGATTTATATGTATAACATGTGAATTAAATGTAAGAAATGGTGGCTTTTGTTTGATTAGTGAATCCAACTTAAATGTTTATGTAACCATTTTTTGATGAGTAAATCGAAAGATTAGACGAACTAATCGAAATGGGAATGTTTCATTAATCGACAATGTTGCCTTTGCTATCGAAAAATAATAAGTGGATCTTCTCCCATTTCTTAAATGTGGTTTAATTACTGTCTCTCTCTCTCTCTATATATAATGCTGCATTTGTTTACCATTTGCAGTTACTTGTTGATCTTGGACCGTACGAACTGGAAAACGAAAATACTCACATCGCTCTTGATCCCGTACATTTTCCTTACTCTACCCTCGTGGTTATTCAACATCTTGAGGTAAAATTAATTCTTCTCACGCTTCGTAAAAACGCCTCTTCTTCTAATTCTCGTTTCTTAAACAAACGACTATTTTCACTACCAAAAAAAAAAAAACAAAAAAAACAGGGGAGAAATTGGAAGGTGGATTGCGTTCGTCGCTGTCGTACTACGTCTTTTCATCCCTAAACATTTTCCAGGTATTGTACAGAGCCGTTTTCGGTTGCTATTTTTTATGTCGGAGATTTGCTTATATTTTTCGAGTAACGGGAAATTTTTTGTAATTGCAGATTGGTTGGAAATGCCGGGATCTTTGATCCTTCTCCTAGTGGTGTCACCTGGATTCTTTGCTGATTCGATAAGGGGACACATAGTCGGAACATTTGTCTGCCTTGTCATAGGTTGTTATTTGCTGCAAGAACATATTCGAGCTTCTGGAGGGTTCCGGAATTCATTCACAAGGGCTAACGGCATTTCCAACTCTGTTGGGATCCTCCTTCTCTTCGTCTATCCAGTTTGGGCGCTCGTACTTACCCTTCTTTAGAATATCGACGAAGGCGCTTTAATTGCATTTGTTTCGGGTTTTTCTTTTTTCAATTAAGAACGAGAGTCGTGATGTATTTGTGAAGAAACTATTGCCACTCTCAGATGTTTTTTTTTACCAGACTATGTTTACTGCTTTTGTTGGATTGGCAGTAAGAATGTAATAATAATTCGTATCGTTTCAATTGTCTGTTCGGTTTCGAGACAGTATGTTCTGACATAATCAATTCACCTTGTTTAGATCTGTGTATGTAATGTTTCGTAGATGCTACATTTGGTGTGTGTAAACCATGTATGAATTTATACACGTAAGAAGTGTATGGTAGTAGAATATAAGGAGGTGGAATTCATCGAGTGTAGCATAGAAGAAACCATGTAAGAAAGTGCAAAAGTCGTACATTATTCGTAAAAAGAAAACCCGGAGTTTTTGCACTTATTGCAATGAGTTCATAAAGCTTATATCTTATATATCAACATATACATACGAAAATAGCCGCAGGGAGTTTTACATCACTTATTCCTCGAATATTTTGAGGTTGTTTCATGGTTTTGTTCCTTTGGCTTCAGTGTACATCTCATCAACGCGATCCTGCGTATAAATATGTAGCAAAATATTGATTTATTTACGTATTGAGATGCTAATTAAAACATAAAAATGTGTTGAAACACAAATCAACGCGACAAACCTTGTAATGCTTGAGCAACTGTGGCCTCTTAAGTTTAAACGTAGGAGTAATTAAATCTCGATCTATGTCGAACGGAATCGGCTCCAAGTGAACCGCTCTCAACATTTCAAACCCGCGAAGCTGAAAAAAAATGACAAAAAAAATAAAAATAAAAATGAGCATATAACAATTGAAGATAAATGAAAAAAAAAAATAGTTAATTAATTGAAACACACATTGTGGGTTTTGGCAGTGGTGTTAAGTTCATCTAGAATGTATTTTCTGGCTTTTGAGTTGCTGCACAATGACTGAAAATCTCCTTTCTCTTGGTTATTTGCCGCCCAATCTTCGAGTGCTTTTTTCTCCGGCACCGCCACCGCCACCAAAAACGACTCGAAACTGTTCCCATACACCCAAATCTACACAAATACATTAAAATTATAATTGTAAGTTTTCGATTTTATTTTTACAAAAAAAATTATCGAAAAAATTCGGATCCAACTTACCGCTGCAATAAGAGGGCATCGCGAGTAAGTGCTTTCTAAACATTCCACAGCAACATATTCACCTTGAGAAAGCTTGAATATATTCTTCTTCCTATCGATAATTTTCATCGCCCCGTTTGGCTGCCACTCCCCGATATCACCTACAAAAAATGTTTCATTACACATTAATGCTGTAAGAATATTCTTGCGAATCTTTATTTTATTTTTATTACCGGTGTGGAACCATCCATCCACAATGACTTCTTCGGTAAGATCCTTTCTTTTATGATAGCCAGAGAATAACGTGTTGCCACGTAGACAAATCTCTCCTCTTGGAACTGCAGAAACTGCATCGTACCCCATTTCAGGCACAGATTCTAGCCTCGCTTCGATTGCTGTCATAGGAATACCAACCGAACCAATCATCGGGTAAACATTCGCTACCGAAGTGAAACATCCAGCACAACTTTCTGTAAGCCCTGCAATAATAAAAAAAAAATAATATGATAATAATCATTTATCGAGAGAGGAATTGTTTAATTTTTTGTATATACCGTAGCCTTGTGATAAAACGCAGCAGCACGTGACTCGGAGAAACTCCTCAATGTGCTTAGGCAGAGGTGCAGCTCCGGATAACATAAGACGAACACGACCACCAAACGCTTGTTTAATCTTGAAAAATTAAGTGAATTAATTAGTGGTTAAGACAAATTAATTGATTGATTATTATAAGTATGGATTAATTAGTGAGTTTTTTAACCTTATCGAAGACTAGTTTGTCCATAAGTGGAGATGCTTCGTCTTGCTTGAGTCCTTTCTCGAGATTCCTTAATTTACTGTTAATTTTTTTTTTTTATATAATTATAATCCAGAGAATATGAAATCAAAAGAAATAATATCTCCAAATACGTACTAGTTGTATGCAATATGGAATAGTGACTTCTTGATCAAACCACCAGCCGAAATTCTATCCATTATACCTGAAACATTTAAACAAAAAGGGCAAAATGGGTATAAATTAAATAAGCAAACGGATTTCTTATTACAAGAAAAATTCAATAGTAAAAAAAACCTGTGCATATTCGATCATAAACTCTCGGAACCCCACAGAATATAGTCGGCTTCAACACAACAAGATCCTCGACCAAAAATCTAATGTCCTGAAAGTTTGAACATAAACGATGCTTTATACAAAATCGTTTATTACAAGAAGACATTTAATAATGTGACATTGATTGATCTTACCCCTTGCCAGAATCCAATTGAAGAGCCACGGTAAATGCAATAGGTCTCGATAATTTGATCAAATATGTGCGCCAATGGAAGGAACGAAAAGTACACATCCTCTTCTGTACACTGCAAACTCAACGCAAAAAAATTAAATAAAAAACTTTAAACTTTCCGATATCATTTAAGACAAACAAATAATTAACATATTATTACCACTTTGTCTGTCTCAAGAAGAAGTTGATCCATAGACAAGACTTCTGTCATGAAAGCAGCATTACTTAGAATGACTCCTTTCGGCTCTCCCGTTGTGCCACTCGTGTACATTATCGTGCACGTGTCTGTCTTCTTCTTCGGAGGAAGATCTTCATCTAAATCTCCCTGAGAAAAAAAAGATTAAAAAAAAGAAATGACAAGAATAAATGAGCATGTAATTATTATAAATTCATGCCTTCTACACTAACCGATAAAAGAAACTCGTCCCAGGAGAAAAAAGCTACACCTAGCTCTTCAGCTGTCTCCTTTTGCTTATCGGAAATCTTTCCAAAACTAACAATAGCTTCACAAAGAAAAAAAAAGCACGTCTCGTTTATATGCAACGAAGCAGAAGCAAAAGGTTAATACCATATATTTCAAAATTGGTTAATTTTTTGACCTACTTTTTACGATTGATGCGCACTTGGAGAGACATGTTAGTATCTGCAATCAAAATTCCGCAGAATCCATTAAGATCAACAAGACGAGAACTCGTTTTATTTCACATGCATTAACCATATTATTAGATACGAAAAGCTACAAAAAAGAAAAACACGACAAATAACGCACGGGCGGTAGCTTGTTTTCTTGGACAAAAGCAATGGAAACTTCAGCATGGTTGATAATGAACTCTACTGCATTTGCACCTGCAGTTTACGCAACACGAAAAAAAAAAAATTCCTACTGATTAGCTTCAAGCTAAATCAATCAAAAAATTAATAAAATTAAGTTCAAAATTGAAAATCGAAAGGAATGATATACCAAGTGTATCATAGAGGGGTACATATGTAATAGCTTGACTATTACACGCCTGCAGATGAATAAAATACTAATTTAATTAGGGCGAGAAAAGAAACAAAATTAATAAGAACAAAGAAACAAATTAATTAATGTGTTTAATTTTGAACCTCCATTGCTATGATCCATTCGGGGCAATTGGCTCCATATATGCCACATTTATCGCCCTGCGTAAATTAGCATTCGCCATTAACATAATACTAATGTGAAAAGATGAGAGATTTCGAAGAAGGAGAAGAAGAGAGAAGCAGAACTAACGGGATTGACGCCACGGCGGCGTATGGCGGAGCCGATCCTGAGTGCTGCATCATAGGCTTCCTGGTAAGTTAGCCAACTGTATCCGCCGGCCTGTTAATTTATTTTTGGAGTGGTGATTGAATTAAGAATTTGTGTTGTTTTTTCTTCAATTAGGAAATTAAGATGTGATTTAGGGGTACAAGTGTAATTTGATTTGGACCTTTCCATCCTTGATCTGACGGCGACCCAGCAAACTGTTACTTGGGTTCTTCTTCACAGACTCACTGAAATCAAATACAATACAAGAATAAAATAAATATCAAGGCCCATTAGCTCAGTTGGTTAGAGCGTCGTGCTAATAACGCGAAGGTCGCAGGTTCGAGACCTGCATGGGCCATTTAATTTTATTTTTGAATTTTTTGTCCTTTTATTTTAAAATATTAGTGATAAATCCGGGAATAATACAATTTTCACCCTCAAATTTGCACTAATTTCATTTTGTCCCTCATGTTCACACAAAATATATTTGGTCCCCTCAAGTTTGCACCAATTCCACATTTCGCCCCATATGTTCACAAAAAATACACTTGGTCCCTCATGTTTAAAATATTCAACATTTAGTCCTAAATCCAGGAATATTACAATTTTCTTCCCTCAAGTTTGCACCAATTCCACATTTCGCCCCTCATGCATGTTCACAAAAAATATATTTGGTCCCTCATGTTTAAAATATTCAACACTTAGTCCTAAATCCGGGAATATTACAATTTTCTTCCCTCAAGTTTGCACCAATTCCACATTTCTGTTCACAAAATATATATTTGGTCCCCTCAAGTTTGCATCAATTTCACATTTTGCCCCTCTTGTTGAAAAAATGCATTTGGTCCCTCGTGTCTAAAAATGCAACAATTTTAGTCATTTTTCGTCAATTTTTGGTTAGTACTAATAGAATCAAGCTTGTGCTCATCATTGTCTTAGCTAACCGACTAACGAAAAATTGATGGAAATGACCAAAAAATGTTAATTATTGAAACATGAGGGACAAAATGTATTTTTTGTGAACATGAAGGATCAAATATAAAATAAGTCCAAACTTGAAGGGTGGAAACTGCAATTTTTCCTGATAAATCCATTTAATATTCAACATGCATGATGCTTGCTTAGCTTTCATAACGAAAATCGACTGTTTTTAATTGCACACATTTATACGTGTCGAAAAATGTGGGAGGAAATGGTGAATGCACATACATACATATAGATACATACATAGATACATACCTGAAGAACTCCCATGGAGATTCCATTTGGGGAGGAATCTCCATAAGGCCATGTTTGGCAAAAATGGAGCGAAACACAGGCCCTGCCGATGGCTTCCCTTCACCAGCTTCTCTTGCTTCCTCAACTTTCACTGTGTAATCCCCTCCCATTTCTTCCTCTATCTCTTAATTTCCAATCAATCAATCAACCAAAACAATCAATGGATTATTGATTGTGTGTGTGTGTGTGTGTGTTTTGCTTTTGTTGGATAAAAAAACTGAAGAGAGAGAGAGAGAGAGTAGTTGAAGAATTAAGAAAATGAAAATGCAATAAATATCAGCGAAATAATTAATGGCAGCTTTTATGAATGGCAGTAGTTGTAATTAAACACCTCTTTTTTACAGATGAGAAGCTAACAATATACATTTATGATTTTTATTTCTCGGTGGTTGAGAATTTTGTTTTCGGTTGCACCGCTTTTCAGTACCGGGTGGGTGGGTACCCGGTACCCGTACCCGGCCCCACCATGCATGTGAATTTTTTTCAATTGACTTTTTCCACTCTTATTTATTACCCATTTTCTTTTATTTATTACAATTATACTTTTTCGTTTTTTGGTTAATATATATTTGAAAATGACTTTTATACCCCTGGTCTGCATTTATGCTCGTTACCTAACAAAATTAACAAATGAACTGCCAGCTGGAAGGGAAAAATAATGGTTTCGTATTATTTATCTGTCATTTTAGAATTACAATTACGGTAAAACAGATTTTTTAACCATACTAAAATTTCATATTAGTCCTTTTTTGATAAAAAAAAAAATTCTACAATTTCGGTTGCATTTAATATTTTCATTTATTTTGCTTGTTAATTTATGAGTGCACAAAGTTGGATGAGGCCAACTAGTCAAATAAACGGGCCATTTTTTTTTTTAGAATATTTCGGGTTTTTTTTTTGAGAATTGGGGTCATTTTATAATTATTTACAAAAATACAATAAAGCGTCGTTTAAAACGACGCGTTTTAAGGGCCGTTGGATTGATCTGAGATTGACGGCCAGATCTCCCTCCTAATCTGACGGCCAGGATTGAAGACAAGATCTGACGGTCCTTAAAAAGCGTCGTTTTGAAAGACGCACTTTGCGGACCGTTGGATCGAGCTGCGATCAACGGCCAGATCTCCTATTTTGTCCTCGTTATCTGACGGTCACGGATTGAAGACAAGATCTGACGGTCCTTAAAACGCGTCGTTTTGAACGACGCGCTTTGACCTGTCAGGGTTGAACGCGTCATTTAAAACCACGCGTTTTAAGGACCGTCCGATCCTTCTCGATCTGACGGCCCTGATTTACCCGAATATATATATATATATTTAATCCGAAAAATAATTTCCTTCACCCCTCATTTTTGCTGCCCTTTCTCCCACTGCTCCCTTCTTCCCAACAACAAATGTAAGTGTTCTTTGCTCTCTTTTTTTTTTTTTTTTTAATTATTGTTTATTTGTAGTTTTTAATTTATATTTTAATTAATGTAGGTAATTTTAATTAATTTCAGCAGGTTACTTATTGAGGTAATTTTTTCACTTTTTCAATTATTATAGTTAAATAGGATTTTAGTTATTAATATAATTTTGTTAAATTTTTATTAATGGTGGATTAATGGTATTTTTATCTAGTAACTTATTAATTATTTGGAGATAAATTATTTATTGTATTGTTAAAATATATATAATTTTTTATGAAATTCAATTTTTTATTGTTGTTTTTACTTGTTACTTTTAGGTTAAATTTGAACTTGTGGTGGATTTAAGAAGGAATGTTTGATTAGTAGAATAATTAGTAGGATAAATTAATTAATTAATAGTGAGTTAGTGGATAAATTGTGTTTAAATAATTCTCGAAGGGGAACTTGAACTTGTCACGAGTTGTGTTTAAATAATTTCTGAAATTTTAATTTTTTTTAATGGTTTAAATATGATACGAGTAGAATAATTAGTAGGATAAATTAATTAATTAATTAATAGTAAGTTAGTGGATAAATTGGTAGTATTAGTTATGGCATTAGCCCCTCAAGTTTACATTAGTTTCACTTTTGATCTCATGTTTTAATAATTTAACATCTTTTCATGGTTTTTTTTTCTTGTTTTTAAATAATGGCTGAAATTTAAATTTTGTTGTGTTCTGATTGTTATAATTAGGTGAAATGTAATTTGTGGTTGATTGAGAAGGGATTTACGTTGCTAGCAAATAATAACTATTTGGAGGTATTTATTTGTTATATTGTACAAATTTTATTTTTTTTATTGTTGAAAATTTAATTTTTTTTGTTTTATTGTTATAACTAGGTTGGAAGTGTAATTTGTGGTGGTTTGAGAAGGGATTTTTGTAGCTAGCAAATAATAATAATTTGAAGGTAATTATTTGTTATATTGTACAAATATAGTACAACTTGGGGTTGGAGCTGTTATTTTTTTCCTGTTTATTAAATAATTGCTGAAATTTTTATTTTGATGGTTTTTTAACTAGGTGGAAGTCTAACTTGTGGTGGAGTGAGAAGTGATTGTGGGTGCTAGCAAATCTTCAATTATCTTTGAGGTAAATTAAATATTTTATTGGTTAATTAAAGTTTTACTTGAATTACACAATTAAAGTGTTATATGAATGTGTCGAAAAATTACGAATTACACAATTTTTTAAGGATTTATAATATACAAATTAATAGTTTTCGAACTCTCAAATTATAAAACGAATTAGAAAATATTAAATATTAATTGTTTGTTTTAACTGATTTATAATCTAATATTTAGTGTTTGTAGCTATAAAAAAATTAGAAAATATTTAATATTTCAAAAAAAAAAAAATAATCTCAAAATATCAAAATATAGGGTTTCAATGGCGACTCCGGGTAGGAATACTGTCAAAGTTTTCGTGTATATAGGAGGCCATATTGTTCATGAGGGATTGTCAGTGAATTATGATCAACCTCATCATACAGTCGTACGAGTGAAACGCGATATATCTTTCTCTGACTTTTTGGCGAAAATATACTCACGTTGCCGAATAGATAGAAATGAATTTGTGTTATCGGTGTCGGGCAAAATATCACGATGGTATCAAAATCAGTGGAGCGAGATAGTTTCTGAGATAACAAGTGATGATGATTTAGAAATCTATTTGCACCCGGATGAAGGAAACGATTCCATAGATGTTTATGTTGAGTCTCAGCCTTTATACAATCCTTTGATACCTTCACAATTCACTACATCAGAGCCTCTCTACTCCCCTTCGAGACCTTCACAATTCAGTACATCAGAACCTCTCTATTCCCCTTCGAGACCTTCACAATTCACTACATCAGAACCTCTCTACTCCCCTTCGAGACCTTCACAACATTTTGATTTGAATGATGCGTACAATTCATTTATGCAAACAAGTCCTGAGTTAGTTGCGGTTACACAAGGGTTTTCCAATATGGGCTTTGAAGCGGGGCCATCGAGGCATTCTTATCAAAATCTTGGGGTACATATTGGGGAATCAAGTGGCATGAGAAATGCTCATGAAAATTTTGATCTTCCGAATGAAACTCGTCATTGTGATAATAATGATGACGATGATCCTTTCGGAGATGCACATGGGCCAAATGTTCGAAGCGACTCTGAACCGTCCGACCATGGAGACGATGATGATAGTGGTGAAGAGAACAACGATGAGAATATCGAAGCCGTTGATGACGTTGTACAAACAATATCGCAGGCAGAAATTCCATCAACTTCTCATGTTCATGTCAGCAATCCATCATTTGCAGAACCTCCTACTCAGTTTTATGATCCACCTTCGTACTACTCTCTGTCATTTCCTGAAATCCCAGCCGATTCCATTGATGTTCCGTCGGGTATGTGGTCAAAATTTTATGATAGCAGCAAAGGTACTCTCGAAAAGGGGATGATTTTCGATAGTAAAGCAAGGGTCATTTCAGCCGTTAGAGACCACTCCATTCGATTTGCCAGAAGAGAGTTTAAAGTTATCGAAAGTACAAAAAGAACTTGGAAGGTTATCTGCAAACACGACACTGAAGCACGACCTTGCAGATGGAGGCTAAGAGCATCAAGAATTGGGGATAAAGGACAATTTAGGATTGGGATCTACGATGGCGATCATAGTTGCGGTATGCAAGGGATGACAAACAATCATGGCAACTTGAACATCAATTATTGCGCCGCAATTCTATTGAAAAGTGTTCGTGAAAATCCAGTTTGTGAAATTTCAAAGGCAAGAGAGATTGTGACCGCGCAAATAGGATATGAGATATCCTACATGAAGGCATGGTACACTTTGAAGCGATGCAGAGAAAATGTATATGGAACATGGGAGAGTTCGGTCCAGAAGTTGCCAAAATTTATGAAAGCACTGCAACAAAGGAATCCAGGCACAGCTGTTGAGTGGGAACATCACGCGACAAATCATCCATCGAAATTCATAATCAAATACGTCTTCTGGGCCTTCAAGCCGTGTATTGATGGTTTCAAATACTGTCGTCGGGTGATTAGCGTCGATGGAACTCATTTGTACACTAAGTACAAACATAAGATGTTGCTTGCTGTGTGTTTGGATGCGAATCAACAAGTTCTACCACTTGCGTATGCAATTGTTGATGAAGAGACCGCAAGTGCATGGAAGTGGTTTTTCAAATGCATTGACAAACATTTACTTTCGGGCATATCAGATGGTATTTGTATAATTTCGGATCGAGGAACCGGTATTTTAAGTGCCATCGATTCAATGCCCGAGTTTCGGCCCCCTCGTATCACCCATCGATTTTGTTTGAGGCATGTTTGTTCAAATGTTAACGCCAAGTTTAAGAGCATTGTGGTGAAAGATTTTTGTTACGCTGCTGGAAAACAATCTCAGGTTTGGAAGCTGAACCGGTATTTGGACAAGATTGGGGAGGAAAATCCCAATGCACTCAGATACTTGATGAACATGGATCGAGAAAAGTGGACTTTAGCACATGATGGAGGGTCTCGACGCGGTCAGTTGACGACCAACTTGTCCGAGTCCATCAATGGTGCTTTGAAAGTATGCAGGATATGAGTTTCCCGTACCACCTTACGGTGCACGGTAATGGTTTTGAGATTTATGTTAAATTATTTTTGCATTATTGTTACGGTGATTTGTGTATTAATTTTTTGTGTCTATAAATATAAGGGTTTGTTTGAGCCAACTTCCACTATATTTTTCTAACATTTTCAGTCAATTTTACTTGAATTTCTAAATAAAATTTCAGTCAATTTTAGATTTTTTTTAAAATTTTCTAAATAAAACCTTTTATTTTTTTCATTTTGAATTTCTTTCGGCAGTTCAAATTCTCAACAACAATATGATTTTGAACCTTATCTTTATTATTATCTTAAGTTTAATATATAATAATATATCGCAGATGGACCAACCATGTCAGCTTCATTGAGACTGGTGCACATGTTCTTCGTATATTTAGGATGATGTTGGATCAGATGCTCCCAGATCAGTTTATATGGACGCCATATGATCTGGATGATCCGGAGTATCAGTCTGTAGGTGGTGATTCGACGATCACATGTAATGGTATATGGGTATCGAGAGTCCCCCTGATATGCTATGCAATTGTGGAGATGCATCGACCAGACAGAGTAGTACGTCAGTTCGGGATGGTACAACCCATACCTGAACCTCCTGAAAATACTGAGACGGATTTCCGGATGCACGTCAATGCTAACCGTACAGGTGCTACCAACCGAGACTGGAGGCTTACACATGTTTCGCATGTTACCGCTTGGGATAATAGACTCGATTATATTGTTGATTATCCATATGCCAGTGACAGTCAGACTACAGAAGATGGTTATTTTGAGTGGTATGAATTGCACACACGTCGTTTCATATCACCGATTACCCCATCTGATCGTACAGGATTTCAGGTTGGAGGTCAGATTTCAATGGATACAGTGGTACGTATTCAAATTTATTTATTATAAAATTTTGTGTATTATATAATTTTTATTAATGTATGTCTTCTAAAAATAAAATATTTCTTATTACTTATTTCAGATTCAGCATCTTCGATCGTTGATTGTTTCTGTTGATGGCGGAGACATGCCCCGGGATGGCTATCGTTCGTATTTACCGACTCTCAGAACATGTCTTAATGTCTTAGAGTCTCGACACGGACCTTCAGATAGGCCTCAATCTGAGATGCCTTATACTCAGACTCACTCTCAGACTCAGACTCAGATACCACTGTCTCAAATGCCTCAGTCACAGACTCAGATGTACGCTGGCGAGGCAGGAACTTCTTCTCGTGCATATTATCCGGCATTCGATAATTATACAGATCCTAGAGCACACGGGCATCCATCTGGTATGTTTAGTACCTTTGATTTTATTTTTAATACTATCTACAACTGTGAGTTTAATTATAATCTCGTTGATGCAGATCCGTACACCCCATACCCCTACTTTAATCCGAATATGAATTCGGAAGACCCAATTCATTTGGGGTCTACGCATCAGTTTTCGTCTTCGCGACCGGTAGATCATCAGATCACACCTATTCCTTATTTTGAATCCGCAAATTCTTCGAGTGATGAGGATGAACAAGTTGGTAGAGGGCACAGGACTAGAAGGCCCCCGAGATGTGGCACCGGAGGTCACCGTCATTGGTGATATTATTATTGTAGTTTATGTTGGTTATTTATTAAAACTTTTTCGTATTTTAGTTATTCAATAAAAAACAAATTAAATAAACTAAAGGATTTAGAGACAAAAAATATTTCCCAATAATTAGGCATTTTATTTTTATTTAATAAAATATGGAAATCGGACGGAATGGATCGAAAATGCCTTTTTTGGAAATTTTCCAATTTTTTCGGAAGTTAAAAATAGGTTCCAATTTCCGTTCCAAAAAAATCGGAATTTCAAAATCCATTCCAATTTCGGAATACCTCGGAATCGGCGGAATTTCGAAATTTTCGGAAATTGCATTAATTCTTAATGTTTTGTTCCAAAATCGGAAATAATGGTAATTTTTAGTATTTTTTTTAATATTTTCGTAATTTTCCGGCAAAATGCAAGAATCCAAAGCAAAGTTCAATCAAATAAAATTTAAACACTTGTAAAAACAACATAATTGATATATCAAAGTGATGAAGCTAAAATATAGCTCACCTAGGGTAGTATAGAAAACAAGTTGGGAGAGCAAAGCTGATCAGTAGCTGGTCAACTCGATGTTCCTGAGGTCCCTGCGAAAAAAGCACACGTGAACTAAGCCGGGGGTTGATCCGGCGGAAACCCCTCCGACGCTCAAGTCAGATGTACGGATCGTAGAGATAGCTGAGAGAATAATATTCGAGGTTGATTGTCGATAAAATGAGAACGTACCTTTACGAATGAGTAAACCATCTATTTATGTATTATTGAATGGGTTGGGCTTACTTTGTTGGGCCCAAGCCTTATTTTGAAGGAGCTTGGGCTTTCGTGTAATGGGCCACATGTGTGTGACTTGGCTTTCTTGTAATGGGCCCAATTGGTAGATAAATTTGAGGGCCCGTTGGGCCGGCCCATTTAGGTATATCATTAAGCCCCCCAACTCTCGATTCGAGACGGGGACGTGTGTAGATGGATCTGGGTCGTGTCGAGAGTTAATTGCGGCGTTGCTTGAATTGTTTTCGTTGCCGGTGAATTAATTCCTTAATTTAAGTAAGGAATAATTGTATTTATTTGGCAGCGAGGTATATATTTAAGGGTTTTAAATATTATACCAGGGCCAGATAAATAGACTCCTTTTGCGGTGGAAAGTATTAAACTCCAACTCTCGCAATAACTATGGGTATGTGTTTTTTTAACTCTAGGTCTTCCTCTGCGCTATTTTTCTCTTGAAAACTTTTTTTTTTTTGTGGTGGAGTAGAAATTTCCTTTGTTTTTTTTTTTTTTGATTGTTTTGTCGGAGAAAATTATTTTTCTCATGTCGAACTCGGGTAATTCGAAATCTTTGCGTATTAAACTTCGAGATCCGGTTGAAGGGTGCAAGAAAACTTTTGGTACGGTGGGCTTGGAACGCGGGAATCTTGTGGTATCGAGTGCGAAAAACGGATCTACATCCGGAGGTGCGCGAAATTCCGTGCAGATGGGAGTAGGGTCGGTGGCTGCGGAGGGGACCAGCGCACGTGGTCCAATGGGGGGAAGCCACGTGCGCACGGCTGGTAATGAGGCAGAGCGACGCGCGCGCGCGTCGGGAGCTGGAGTTGAGAGAGGCGCGCGCGTGGCCATTAATGTGCAGCAGGCGGGCGCGCATCCCCAGCGACGCGCGCGCGCGTCAGAAAGGCGGAACGAGGGGGACGCGCGGAGTATGGCGAGTGAGGAGGCGCCACGTGGGCGGGAACAGGGTGACGACGCGCGCGCGCGCGAATCAGCCTCTAAGCGACGCGCGCGCGCGTCGGAAGGTGGGATTGAAGCTGACGCGCGGGGTCCGGCTATAGAGGAGGCGCCACGTGGCGCTGGGCAGTCAGTTGGTGCGCGCGCGCGTGGATCCGCCCCTTTTGGGGCCACGCGCGCGCGTGAGGGCGCGTTAGATGCCGGTTTTGAGCCCGGTTCGGGCGAAATTGACGAGCAAATTTCCGAGGGTGCTGATTCGCGTGTTGTTTTCACCGGGGGAAGTTTTGGTCGGCGAGAAATTATTGAATCGTGGAGTGACGATGTAGAAGTGCGTAACAATATTTATATTTGCCCTACTGTTGATGAAGCGAATTCCAGTGGACGTCGGTATGGGCGTCAAGTCGTGGATTTTGGGAGCGATAGTGATGATTCGAATCAAGCACCGTTGGCGAGTAATCATACGGCGCCAAGTAGTGAAGTTGAGTTGACGGATGAAGAGGAGGAGGAAGATGATATTCCGCCGGGTGATGTTGAGGTTGACACGAGGAGGCAAAAGAAAATTAAGCCAATTAATTTGGACTTAATTAATTTTGACAGTGTATTGACTGAAGAGCATTTGCAGGCTATTCGTCGTTTATCTGGAGCGCCGAGTAATGTCGAGTTGTTGTTGCCTCGGAAGGGCGATCGCTTGTATTCGCCACCCGATGGGTTTCATACGGTATTTTTGGGGTACTTGACGTGCACATCTCAGATTACACCGCATCCTACCTTGTTGAAGGTTTGCGAGGAATTCAAGATTGGGTATAGTCAGCTAACGCCCACTGCTGTTCTGATGTTCCAGGCATTTCATTTTAGGGTGGTTCGAGTAGGTCTGCCTGTGTCTGTGAGTTTATTCAAGGCGTTATTTACGTTACATCGGCCCACTAAGATGCCTTTCTTTTGCTTTCATCCTCGCGTTCATTACCAATTCGTGAAGAGTGTGAAGCTATCTTTGGGGAAATGGAAGACCTATTTTTTTTACGTGAGGGCTCCCACTTTTGACGTTCCCGTAGTTTGGAATCCTTCGTGTGAGAGTTTCGCGATAACTGCAAATATGGCGAAGAGGATTGAGGAATCTGGGTTGTGCGATGTGGAATTTGATCCGAGGAGTTTGATACCGACGGTGGAGGGTCAGCGTCGTATATCCTTTTGTTGTCTTGAATTGTTTTTTTGTTTTTTTTTTTTTTTTTTTTTTTTAATTTTTTTTATTTTTTGTAGTTCTTTGGTCATGTATACCTCATGTTTCTTATGTGTTTGTTATCTTTTGTAGATGGTGGTATCACCTTTGCGGCACTTCGAGCGAAGGCGAATGGGACGTCGAAGAAGGCATCGAAGAAGGTTCCCTCTAAGTTGGGAGGTTCTTCGAATGGTTTGCCTCGCGAGGAGGTTCATGTAGAAAGTCCTCGAGTAGTAGCAGATGATCGTAGCAGTGCTGGCGTAGTGGAAGATCGTCCACCGAAGAGGGATCGTGGCAAGGGAAAGAGGGTGGATACTGAGTATGTGGCTGTGCCTAAGCGTCCACGGGTAGATCCAGAGGAAACTTATGCTTTCCATGGTGGAGGAGGGAAACAATTGTTTACCTATGGTGTGAATCGCGACGGTAAGGAGTCGTATTGGGATGTGTCGGACCATGATTTGCCCTTGTTGAGTACCGAGGGATTTGTTCGGGAGTATGATCGTGCTCGGATGTCTGGTAAGGGTCCTTCTCACATGTTGGAGTTAGCCGGTGGGGACATCTGTCGGGTGAGTCTTTTTTTTCTTAAAACAAGATTAGACGTTACTCCCTCTCTTCCTTGTAAAAATTTTTTTTTTTTTTTTTTTTTTTTTAGTTGGTAGCGACTTGGAGATACCTCGTGGAGCACGGTAGGAATGCGGAAGCTAGTAAGGAAGAGGATCGGGCTCGAAGTCAAGCACGTGAGGATGAGCTTCTAAGTCAGTTGGAGGAAGCGCGGTCCGATCTCGGTCTACGCTCTGAAGAGCTTGCTCGGAGGACAGAGGAGCTTGCTGAGAGGACGGAGGAGCTCGAGGTTATCCGGGGTGATGCGCAGGCTTATAAAGATGATGTTCATAAGTTGAACGAATGTTACGATCAGCTCAAAGAGAAATATGAAGCTGAGAAGGCGACGGGGAAGAGGTTCCTCGCGACATCAGGTGGTGCGGCTTATAAGGAGTCCATTGTGGAGGAGACTAAAGCTAGTTTCCGAGGTAGTGATGAGTGTGCTGCTATGATTGAGGAGCACGCATTGGCTGTGGTTTATAAGCCATTAGTGCGTGCTTGTCGCAAATATCTGCGCGATGCGGGTGGTATCAGCGAGGAAGTGATTCGTGGAATGGAAGCTGGCATATCCGATGAAGAGGAGGATGAAATAGATGTTAATGGGACGGGCACAGAGGTCGTGAACGACATGGTTGCGGATGACTCCACCGTGGGTACGTCGTCCGCTCGCGGTAGGGGAGCTTAGACTTAGTTGCTAGGATAGTTATCCTTCTTCCCCCTTTATTTTTATCACTATTATGTTTTTTTTTTTTTTTTATGGATTTCTTAGTTTGTTTTTATCGCTGATGTAGATGGGTATGTCCACTACTCTTTCATTTGATTTTCTGCCTTGTTTGACTTTGAAATTTAATATTCCGATTTATTTATTTTGACATTGTCAAGAATTATTGCGTTGCTTATATGTATTTACACTTAGCATTGTACGCGATGTACTTGAGGAGGGGATCAGTCTCCCAAGGTTTTTGTTAAGGGTCGTGCCCTTTGTTCGGACCGCTTGGGTCTTAATTATATTTGTCCGTGGCCACGTTTTAAAATTAACACCTCGTGAAACAAATAAAGGGACTTAGAGAATCCAGCTGGCCAGGCTATATGGATTTTCTAAGTCTCTCTAAGTGTTTGTAAGGTTGTTTTGAATTGAACTCTTGGTAAGAGATAATTTGTGTAGATGTGATAGCTCAGAGAGTAGGGCAAAGAAGAATTGATTTATTCGATGATAGCAAGGTTGCGTTGTTACAAGCCTATGTGAGGCGACTGTAAATAAATACCGCTAAACAAATAAATTAACTTGATAAAAAAAAAATATTCTAAGTGATTGTACTACGCTTGTTCTTCTTCCACGTCTTCTTGTACTCGTTTGTTTTACTGTGCTGATGGTAGATTGACTTCTTTTGGCGTTTCTATGCCTGTCAAATATAATTGAGAAAAAAGAATTTTGTCTAAGCATTTGTATTGAAGACTTAGTAATTGAAGCTGAGGGGATGTGCATTGCCGATCTACGTACCATATTACGGGGATGTTTTTTCTTCCTCGCACTTCGGGATATGAAATCA